CCCCAAAACCCCAAAACCCCATGAGACTATAAGTTACTCGAATGAATCTTTGCTTCTCTATAAAAATATATCTTAACTTATTTGAATTCAAATGGAGAGCACAACTAATACTCAAGAATCTTTCAAACCCTCAGAGACTGAAACTGAACTAATCAACAAACTTTTAGGCCAAGAAAATGTCATCATTGATAGTGGCTTTAAAGGTAGCGTGATCCTTAAGGAAACTCAAGCCTAAAGAAGAGCTGAACTTATTTCTGACGTAGAATACACCTTTGCATTGGCGCTAAAGCAAGGAGATCATTACTTCGGAAATGCAGTTGTGAGATTCTATCTCGACTAAATGCCTTAGAATGATGAAGAACTCTTCTTAAATTCACAAGCTATGGCTGTATCTCAACTTAAGATAAATTCACACAGCATTATAGACTCTAGTGGATTCAAGAATCAAACAATTCCTTTAAGAGTATAAGATCTCAATTTAGGATGGAATGAAGTATCCTTGAGATATTTTACTCCATATAACACAACTAGAGTTGGACTTCATTCTTATATTGATCAGCAAGATAAGAAACAATATCTTTACTCCTAATTTGAAGCCTTCCATTGCTTCAGAGTATTCCCTTGCTTTGATTAGCCTGACCTAAAAGCAAAGATGACTCTATCTTTGACAGTACCTAAAGAATGGAAAGCAGTTTCCAACGAAAAAGAAACCAGGCATGAAGATGCTTAAGGAAAAGGTAAGAGAGTCCTTGAGAGATTCAATACATCTTGGTTCCTAGATTTCTATGAAAACTTGTCTGATGTAGTAGTCTATTAGTTTGATTAGACCCCTAGAATCTCTACTTATCTTTATGCAATCTGTGCTGGTCCTTATATCCATTTTGAAGATTTTGATCCCATGTATCCTCCCCAAAGAGTTTTTGTTAGAGAATCATTAGTTGAAAATCTTAGACTTAAATTAGTTACAGGTGTTACAAAGACTACAATAGATCTTTATCAAAAGACTTTTGGACAAAGATATCCTTTCTCAAAAATAGACCACGTCATGTGCCCAGATTACAAGTATGGCGCCATGGAAAATGTTGGATGCATCACTTATTCTGATGCAATAGTTTGCTCATCTAAAGAGATGACTATCCCTCAACTCACCTTCTTCTGTGTAGTTATAGAGCATGAACTAGCACATATGTGGTTCGGAAATCTAGTAACTATGAAATGGTGGAATGATCTCTGGCTTAATGAAAGTTTTGCTACTGCTCTCTCATATTATGCTTGTTCTTTTGGAGGTGAGCATGTCGAGGAGTACAAGGATGAATCATGGCTTCACTTTGCCAACTACAAAAGATGGGGTCTCAATGATGATCTACAACCATCAAACCACAATATATAAGCAAACTGTGAGAGCACTGATGTTTCTGAATCTTTGATTGATGGAATAACCTATGGTAAAGGAGCTAGTTTGTTAAAGCAACTAATTTTCCATATGGGGTGGGATACCTTTAGTGATGGACTTAAGATTTACTTTGGCAGACACTCATGGAAAAATACAACCCTCCAGGACTTCATTGGAGCTCTTCAAGAGGGTTATAACAACAAATTCCCAGAAGGAAATTTAAATTTGACTTCTTGGGCTGATTCATGGCTTAAAACTAAAGGTCCAAACTAAATTTCTTATCAAATAGAAGAGGAGAATGGAAATATAAAATCGTTCAAATTTGTTTAAGAGTTCACAAAGTTTGGTGATTAGGTCTACAGAAAGCAAAGCATTAATTTAGGATTCTTTGATAATGAGCTTAATTTCAAGCAATATGAGAATGTTGAAATTAATGATTAATAAGAAACTGATGTACCATAACTTGTTGGAGTTCCAGTTCCAAGAGCAATTATTGTTAACAGTGATGATTATGGCTTTGGAGTATTCATTGTTGATGAGAAATCCTATAAAGTCTTTGAAGATAATCTTGATAAAGTCCCAGGCCAGCTTAATAGAGCAGTCATTATAGGATAATTGATTATTATGATGAGAGAAATCTAGTATCCTGCTACTAGATTCCCTAAAATCCTTAATCAAATGATCGAAGAGAAAAACCAAAATCTTATTAACACTGTATTTGTAGCCCTCTTTGCTGCTAAGACTACTTTCTTACCCCCTCATTTAGAGTAATAATTCAGTTAAGAAGTAGCTTAATTCTTCTTAAGAAAAGCAATCAAGGAAAATTCTAATAAGAGTCTCTAAATGTTTTGCGTTGACAAAGCAATCAGCTTCTCAAGTGACTAAAAATCACTCCAGGTGTTTATTGATGTGATCGAGTCAGGAAAGCTAAAGCTAGACGGAGAAGAGGTAGAAATTGCTCTTACTCCAGATCAGAAATATTCATTGATAAGACTCATATATGGATCTTAGGATTTCCAACTAGAACAGAAGTAGGCTTTGAGAGCCAAGATCTTTGAAAATGATACTTCAGATAAAGCTCATTAAACTTAAGCTATATGCGATTATTCACTTCCAGATGCTGAGCTAAAGCAAAAACTTTGGAGTGAATTAAGTGACTGCAACTCAACTGACTCAGTGCTTTAAGTCCAGCAAAAAGCAGCTGGTTTCTTTAATAGATTCTAATAGCTGAGCTTCATTGAACCTTACTTTGATTAATTCTATGAAGTTGTCCATGATGTTGTTGAAAAAAGAAGCAGAGAAGTAGCTGAGGTATTCCTTGCTTCACTGTCACCTGCATTCATGGCTAGAGATTCAGATGAAAAAAGCTTATATAAGCTTTTGGAAAAGGCTAACCATGAAAAACATTTCTACATCAAGTTCCTCTAATAATAACTTGAGACTATTACCACAATCAGAAGATCAGTTAAACTTATTGAGGACTCTCAATAATGATTTATTAGATTCTCTCTTAATTTCATTATCTTTTGCTCATAAATTTTCTAATCTTTTTAGTATTAGGGGGTTTTGGGGTTTTGGGGTTTTGGGGTTTTGGGG